GGGAGGATGGCCTAGATTTTAGGTCCCAGAATAAGAATTCTTATTTAAATTACGATTTCTGGTATATACTGGTAATCAGCACAAATCCTCTGGAGCTTCTACCATTTCAACATTCACATATAAAACAAAGAAAATGCACCTTACTTCCTGAAGTAGCACCCCTTAATGTATGTCAATGATATTCACAGACTTTCCTCTCCTATATTGCTGCTATTAAGCCATTCCATGGTATCACTCTGATCCAACAGTTCCTCTATTTCCAAAAAAAAAACCTGTCATCACTTAATATGTAAATTTCTACAAGAGTATCCTGACTAAAAGAGCATCTGTCTGCTTTCAGGCTTCCTTTCCTACTTGAAAAGGCACATTTATCATGTCACTCCTCCAACCAATTCACAGGATATCCAAGGTAAGTAGTTGGAAATAAGGGTCCTGAAGGAGGTACAGTTTGGGCTAAAAGTACAGTATTGTACTTTGGTCACATCCCAAAAGTTTTGGCATGTTGTCTCATTATTGCCATTCTCTTGAATGAAGTTATTGATTGTTTCTATAATTTGTTGTTTGACCCACTCATGCTCTAGGATTAGATTATTTAGTTTCCAATTAATTTTTAGTTTATCTTTCATTGGCCCTTTATTACCTTTACTAATAATTTAAACTCTATGCATCAGGGCCAAGTCAAATCTCCTACAAAGCATTTATTCCCCTAATTACTCTACAATGTCCTTTACTTTATTTTGAATTTCCTTACTACCTATACAGAAGCTGCTACTTTACTAGAATAAATTTGCTTTCATAGGCACATTATAAATAAACTAGCTAATAATCAGCTTCATTTCTTAATATCATGGAACTTTAACAACCTTCTTCAGCACTAGTATCTAACTTAAGTCTATGCTTCATTCTGTTTATTAAATATCAGGGAGGTATTAAGTATTTATACAAACAACTCATTCATAACGGTAGTGGAACCCTAATCAATAGCAAAATATTCACAGAGGTATGGAATTAATTCTTCCATATGGCTACTCAAAACACAAAAGGAAGAAAATAAAACATTTTTAAAAGAATTTTTAGCGCAGTTTACCTAAGTTCTAAGTTACTATCCTATTTATCAACTGAAATAACTGAGTTAGGGGAATCTGGATCCTAAATTCACAGATTTCCAGCTCAGTTACTTGCCCAAACTCATATATTATATTAGGCCTCAGCATTGCTAAAAGATCTATTGCTCTGAGATCTTCCCCACACAGTTATAGATGGTTATAGATGATAAATTGGGCAGAAGGGATTGGAGGAAAGTGAACAATGTTCAAAGTCAACTAAGGATAGAAAGAATTCCTAGGGAAGAGACAGTTCTTTCCCACTCTCCTTCCAATACATAGGTGTCTTTAGTTTTTGTTCTTAAGCTAGCCAATTCCACTGCTGGCTACAAGCATTTGGAATGTGTCCTATGCCTCTGGGGTTTCCGTATCTCAGTCTGTTATAAGCAGTTATATGGCAGAGAGGATTTAGAGTGCTAAGCCTGGAGACAGGAGACCTGAGTTCAAATTCGACCTTAGACACTAGCTGTATGACCCTGAACAAATCACTACATTTCTATCTGCTTCAGTATCCTCAACTGGAAAATAGGAATGATAATTGTATCTATGTGTCAGGGATACTGCAAGGATCAAATGAGATGATATTCATAAAACACTTAGCAAAATGCCTGACATATAGTAGGCACTTAATACTTTTCCTTCCTTTTCAGCACATCTTCAGACAGACTCATCCTACTACCTTCTGGTGATTCTGTAAAGCTTGCTTTTACATTTTTATAGACCACATGTCTGCCCAATGATTGCCTTCCATTTATAATATTGTTGCTATGGAACTACTTCTTATAATGTTGTGGAAACCAATTAACATGCTTAAGAGAGGTATGCCTGTATACCTCTTCAGTCATTTCTTACATGGGATGTTTTATCTCAGCAAAGTGACTTCATACTTTGCAAGAGAAGAAACCAAAGTTTCACCTTTTAAAATCCCTCTGCTATAATGATAGGCACATGGCATTAAACACACTCAACATGTGTTTAATAAAATGCCAATTATTTTACCCAAACTATCTCTAATCATTTTCCTACGCAAATTTAGCCTCCAAAGTTTTCTCTCTCTAACCTCTCTAATTTACAGATAAAATACCATGTATTTACACATGGAACACCACCTGTGTAAGCAAAAAGCCTCCTACAGGTAAATTTTATAGAAAGAAGGGTAAATAGGTTCCATTGTGTCACCATATATACTGTCACATTTCAACATTTTAAGGGCATGTTGAACCACGTATATAATATGGCATAAGAATCATGAAGGTTTTCTATACTATTCTGACTTTGCCTCCATTATAATTACACTATCTTGAGTTACACAGTGAGTATTGACTGCAGACCTGAACCCACATTAAGATGCATCAAAATTGACGTTTTTATAAGCCTAAATATAAAATAAGTGGTCTACAAAGTCTTTTTTGCTTTTGCTGAACTGGTGCTGGGACTGTAAGTTTGAGGGCCACTAAAGTAGCTTGACCTATTGGACAAAAATATTTACCCAAGAAAAGTCAATCCTGTCAATTCTCTTTCACAGCTTAAATACTATCAAATACTAATATCGGGGGGAAAGGGGCAAATACATGTAGATGGCAACACCAGCATAGAAAAATAAGTTGGGTAGGCTGGTGATAGAAATAGAAAACTCTCTTAAGAGTAGCTTTAAAATTACTCCTGGAAAGCCTGACTACAACCTTCAATCCAAATATAAGTGAGAAAAGAATTAGAACTAAAAGAAAGATGTAAGTAATTAAAATGTGAATACACATGCAATTATCACCACAGATAAACGTCCAAGAGCATCATTACATTGGAGAGAAAAAAAAAGTCTTTATCCATTGCCATCAAGGCCTTGTAAGCTGGGATTTAAAAAAAAAAAAGGGTAAAGAATTAGTTTAGAATGTTTTGGTAAAGAGATGAGAAGAGTGAGTTAATTACTAGAGAAAGAGATTATGGTTGTTTGGGAAATGATAGGAACTAATAAGTTAGATCGGTCAAATTATAGCTAGAATTAGGGGTAAAGTGACCAGACAGAGAGAGGTTAGTGATGGTGGTTGAGAATGAATAAAAATGACCTGAGCATAAGTAGGCATTTTACTGGGGAAGGGGGGAAGGTCAAGGTTGAAACAACTTTTCAAAAAAGAAAACTTCTTAATACTCCTATCTTAAGATAATCGATAATTGCCACAAATATAAGGGTATGTACCAGGCATTAGCAAAAAGTTACGAAAACTGTAAATAGGAAAAAGTTATAATTTATTTTATAGGAACGCCTGCATGCACATTCCAAATATCTGCATTTCAATTAATTTAATTAGGTTTGATAGACAGCAGACAACCTTGGCAAACATTTTTATTCAGATTCTAATACAATTGCTCAAGACATTATCATCATCATCAGAATCTCTATAGAGTTCACCAACCTAACAAATTCTTTAAGAATTATTTTTTGTTCCCCATCACCTGTATAAATATGCTCCCAAGCCAAAAGTAATTAGGCCAGGACAAAAATAAACACCAAATTCTGAAAAATAAATTTTAATAAAAATTAAAATTATGACTTACAGTATTCATACCACACATTGTCAGGCTCCTAATGTTTACTCACCAATGTATAAATCATCCCTTTGTACTAAGTAAATGTAAAACAGATAAAAATTTTATATGACTAAACTTTTTAAACCTTTCAGCCTACCCATAATGTTAACATACATCCTACATTCAATACACTGCCCGAAAAAAGGGGCAGTCAAACCTGAGAAAAATAAAAACATCTCTATGTAGCAGTATTTGTGTTCTAGAACAAATGTCAACAAGAATTAACAAGGACAGTAATCAGCATGTGACGTTAAAAGGTCATAGCCACTACAGAAAGTTTAAAAGTTATATCTACAAACTTTGGCTTTAAAATATATTTAAAGTTTCTATTCATTAACACATACATCTGACATAAAACTGTACTAAGTGGAAAATACAATATTCAATTCAATAAACACTTATTGCGAACCTGTGTGTGCAAGGCATTATATTACATTCTTAAAAAAGAGAGAGAGAGAGGAAGGAAGGAAAGAAGGAAGGAAGATGGAGGGAGGAGGTGGTATGTTCCCACTTATCTTAAAGCGAATAGGAAAATTACCTACACTGCCTCTTATTTGGGGCCCTAAAGGCTACTTCTATAATGTACAGAGTACAAACAATTCTACCCACCTGGAACAGGGGTGTATATGAGAGAGACAGAAACAAAAGATAAAATCAAATTCCCATTCAAATAAAAGAAATAAACCACATTTACTAACAGCGAGCGGTGGGGAACCTGTGGCCTCAAGGCCACATAGGGTCCTCTAGGCCCTCAAGTGCAGCCTTTTTACTGAATCCAAACTTCACAGAACAAGGGGCCACACTTGAGGACCTAGAGGGCCACATGTGGCCTCAAGGCCACAGGTTCCCCACCCCTATACTAACCAATGCCAATAAACGGAATAAAATAATAACTCATCCAATTAAAATAACACATTCAAAAGAATATAATTGTTCAAGTGTGAATTGAAAGGATTGAAAAAGGCTGCTCACTAAACACCTGACATACAATAGTAAAACTTCTCATAAATACAAATGCTACACTAGCAATAAATTGGGGTAATTTATCAAATCCAGTGCCTTTTTTTTTTTTTAAGGCAATTGAGGTTAAGTGACTTGCCCAGGGTCACACAGCTAGTAAGTGTCAAGTGTTTGGTCTGAGGCCGGATTTGAACTCAGGTCCTCCTGACTTAAGGGCTGGTGCTCTATCCACTGCACCACCTAGCTGCCCTCCAGTGCCTTTTAAAATTGTATACATCTATCTAAAATAAAAACTTGGACAACACTGAAATCTTAAAACTTGATCAAAAACTCAAATTTTAAAATAATTACCTTTTTATCTTCCTTTACTTTGTGTGTTTTCTTCTTCATTTTTTTATCATCCAATTCCTGATCTGAAGTAATAGCAGGGTTATCAATGCCACCCTTCCAGGTTTCCACAGGAGAAAGGAGTGGATCTTCCTCGCTTCCTCGATGCCTTCCTTTTCTTTTTGTTTTAGAAGTGGTAAAGGCCTCATCATCACTTGCATCTGAATGTGTTCTCCTATAGTAAGATTTGGCTTTGCTGAATAATGTCTTTGACTTGTATTTGTATTTTGAAGGCCTCCGTTCCCCATGACTCTTTGATGTTCTATCAGAAAATCCATTTTCTTCATCTCCCTGGGCATTATTTACAAATGAGTTTCTAACTTTAATAATGCGATTCTGACTGTCATCTGGGACAACATAGATCTCATCAGAATAGCACTTATGTTTAAAAACGCTGTCAATAGGTTCTGCGTAGTTATCTGAGGAATCCATATCTTCAGGATGTGCCAAAGGAACTCGAGAGGTTTGTTTTCTTGGGTTTTTACCAATTCCAGCTTCAATTGTCTTTAAAAGATTTGGATCCAATTTTTTTACATTTGTCTTAGGTACAACTGGTTTGGGTTTTATTGGTGGAGGCACTTTATGATTTCGTTCATGATCATGGCAATTTGGGGTACTATGAATTGGGTATTCATTTCCTTCTAAATCTAAACGATACTTGGAACGGTCACTAGGTGTTGGAAGCAACTGAACATCATCCCCAATTGGACTATAAGGTGGTGGTGCTTCAGTATCATCTTCTGAATCAATATAGCCAGTATAGGAAAAAGAACACTCTCTGGGAGATGGAAGGAAAACATCCTCATTATGATGTGTTGACTCTCTGGTACTGTCAGACAAATAGGAATTCTCTATCAAAATTTTTTTCTCTAAAACATCACTGAAGAACAATGTAAAAACCTCAGTTTGCCGGTGATACTGAGATAAAGAATACAATGCCGTAAATTTAGCAGTAATCTCAGTTGCTATGTGTTCTCCTTCAGTCATCAACTCCTTAATAGCCTCATTCTCAAAAAAATCTGCCTGGCTGTCAGTAACTGCCACCAACTGTACTGGAATAGTATCCTGAACTTCTGAAAGAAATGCTCGGAGCATTCCCATGGATGCTTTCCTTTTGGCAGAGTAAACTAATATATATCCATGGACCAGTTCATCTTTCCTTACCCCAATTGAAGAATGATAAGACAATATTGTAATCTGTATTCGTCTTCTTTTTTCACCAATGATTTTATCAAGCATCAAAGAGTTATTCTGTCCAGCTTGAGCAGCACTACAAGCATGAGAGTCAAGAAATGGTGAAAGAATAAGATCCACACTAAATGGATCACCACACATGGCACACATAACAATTCTCAGGTCAGCTTCTGATATATCTTTGTTGGTGGGAACAGGGCTTACCACATCCAAATTGCGTTTAACTGATTCCAATACTCCCCTAAGAGCTTGTTTTATTTGAGTCTCATTAAATTTACGAGGGTATGTACCAGCAGGTACATCTACAAAAGGACACTGTAGCTTGTTTGCCAACTGCTGCCCTTGATGTCTGAGAATAGGTAAATTTTTGCTAACACTGTCCCTCTGATTAGCCAATATTAACGTAAATGGAAGGTTAGCCATATATTTATCTCTCCTAATCTGTGAAGCTTCAGTTCTTATTTTTCCAATAAAGTCCCCAATAAAACTAAGTGATTCAATAGAGTTAAACACACAGAAGCATCCATGTGGCTTAAAGGCAGCATTCCATAACTGACTCAAAAGGTAAGGCGACTTGGAATCCACTGGTCGAAGGTCTAGTTCATATATTTTTCCATCTAAGGCATACTCATCATCAGTAGACTGTGTCCTTATCTCATTTGCTAGTTCCTGTGCAAGGCCATCCTTTCCCAAAATAAAAAGATTAACTTTATCTATGTTGGCACTATCATGGTACAAGCGTAAACGACCATGATCCAATTGTAAAAGACTGTTAGCAAGCAGTTGCTCTACTTTAAGGTCCATGCAATTCTGACCACTAAGGCAGGTTTCTTTAGTGGGATGATAAACAAACCCTATATGTTTAAGTAGAAGGGACTCTCGATCAGGTGCAAGTTTCTGTAAAGCTTTATATCTGGGTTCTTCACTTAAAACTGTGTGAATTTCACTCATTTTATCTGAACTGGGTGTTGCATTAAGATCCAGGTCATAAAAAAGTTCAGAATGTTCAAAAAGCATTTCCTGAAACTCCTCTTTGGCTTTCTCAACTATTTCTCGCTGATGCCTACTATATACCTCTTTGCTATCAGCCTCAGTTATGTATTTAAAGGCTTCATCCTCCATTACAAAACACATAACTTCTTCCCAGGGTTGTCCAGGTGAAATGAACTGAATTTTTTCCAGAGTTTTCTTGAATTTTTCCTTCATTTCCACCCTCCTCTTCTCAGATATTAGATGCTGTACATGATTCTGGTAGACTTTTTCAGCTTCCAAAGTGCTAAGGAGGTCAAATGGAATTCGCCTATCATTCACTTTGTCTATGTGGTCAGTTTCATCCCAAGGTGTTTTTTCTAGCACCACAAAACACAGTGGGAATTCAGTTCGTGTCTCCATTAATTTTAGGGCTTCTGACCAAGTCAAATGTTCAATCTCTTCAAGATTTGGCAGAAGAGTGTTAAAAGCTCTAGGCAGCGTATTGATATATTCTTCTCTTCTTTTTCTTATATGTTCTTGTTTGAGTTGTTCTATGTGTTTTGAAAATGTATTCCTGGCCTTTCGTGTTCCCTCTAAGTTTATATACTCTTCATAATCAGGATGATTTTTTAATTTATTACTAACAGTTTTCCAAGTTGCATGATAATCTCTCACAGTTTGCACAAGTTTTTCAAATTTATCTGTTGCTGTGACAACAAGTTGTCTCTGTGTTTTATAAGCATCCAGATAGGGAATAATTTTAGGTTTGCCACGGGTTTTATCTAACATTTGTACCAGTGCAGTGAAACATGTCTCAACGTTGACATTAAATCGTGCTGAAGTTTCTACCACAATGAGGTTCTTTTTGTTTGAAGCAAATGCCTGAACCTCTCGAAGATAATGATCTACACATTCATCACATTTAGTTGCTGCTATTATTATAGGTTTTTTTGATTTTGACAGCTGTATATATAAGTTATTTACAAACTTAAGTTGATCATCAAACTTCCTATTGCATCCCTGACTTACATCAATGCATAATAAAAACCCATCTACACTGAGTTTCCCTTCAGGCATTTGTTTCTGATCAAAGTCTTGCTCCAAGCCTAACTGATCAGTGCAAATGTACATCAGTTTTTCTGCAGACTGCAATTTGGATGCAGCTGCACGTTTTATATATGGTTGCAAATTCGTACTCCGATGAGGCAAGAAAGTCTGATCATCAATGAACTCAGTTTGTTCAATGACATGGATTTTACATTCTATTCCATCTTCACCACTTTGTGTTACGTCACCCCAGTACAAAAAGTGATCATTGTTGACTACTCGTCCTCCAAAGTCAATTGTACTAAGCACAGAGGTATGCTCAGGATAATATTCATCTGCTTTGGAACGCACAAATCTATTGCACAAACATGACTTTCCAACGCCACAGTTACCTTTGTCCTTTTCAGTCCCAGATAAGCCTACTACACTGATAGCATAGGATGGAGGACGAGGTTCTTTGTTTTTTGCCATCATAAAGCTCTTCTCATCCTTCTACGTTCACCAAGGTAACCAGATGTATTTCTCATTCTGAAAACATTCCACAAAAACACGGATCTTCAATTTTAGCAGAACTATATTGTATTTTCCTCATTTCTGTGCAGAAAGTAGGTCTTCGTAATTATATGGATCATCTTCCTAGAGAAGAGAAAAAAAGTCAATTCTTAAAGTAATTTACTACATAAAATGTAGCTGCTCAATACCAAGCAAATCATCAATTCCAGTTTAATAATACTGTCTGACTAACTCTTTTTGTTTTATATGTGACAGTGAGCTTAGTAAAGGAGAAGGGGCTCTGGATTTGGAATAAGATAAGAGTTCAAATCCTGGTTCGTCTACTTGTTAGCTATGTGATACTGAGTTTATCACACCTCTCTGAGCTTCAACTTCCTCATTTGCAAAACAGGTACACTGCTATATACACACTATCTACCCCAGAGGTCTATATTAAAAATTAAATGAGAAACTGGTTTTGCAATCACAGAATCTTTTAGCAGAGTGTTATTACTATCAGTTACTAGACTGTGCTGGCTCAAATAAAAGATTATCTTAAATTAATTTTAAAATTACAGTCTCATGTAAAACAACAAGTTTTCTTGCTGTTATTTGCTTAAGGAAAAATAGAATTTTGTTTACCAATGTTCTTGACCCTTGAGATTTACAGTTTAACAGCCCCTTCTCTACTTTTCAACTTTCCAAGGTTTTGCACTACTACTAATAATTAAAATATTCCTGATAACAACTTCCAAGCCAGGTCTGGGGGAAAAGTGTTGGGTTAGAAGTCAGAACATCGAGGTTTGAATCTTGACTTTTTCTGCCACTTATTAGCTATGTGACCCTTGGTAAGCCACTTAACCCCTCTGGGTCTCCATTTCTCATGTGTAAAATTATAAGACTAGATAACTTTTAAGGTCCCTTCCAGTTCTAAATCTACAATCCCATGACCTATTCTATCCAATTCACAAGTTATACAGCTTCATAAAACTGGCACTCTAACAAAAGGGCCAGTATTTCCTTTAAAACCTAGATCAAAGTTCTTCACAACAGTACCTACACTTAGGCTGTGATTGAATGGTAACTCTGATGAGAAAATCATATGCAGCCATGCTAAGGAAGCAAAGAAAAGAAGTAGAGGCCACTCAGCTCCACATCAGTTAATGTAAAATAAGTAGTATTCTTAAGTTTTACTTTTCTTTTTAAAGAAAGCACCTCACTTTATCAAGTCAACATTGAAAAATCTCATTTTCCAAAATTCCTTAAACATAACTTTAAATGGTTAAAAAAAAGTTACACTACACAGAAGAGGTTTTATTTATAACACCCCACTTGCCCAGCTGTCAAATTTCTTGAAATCTCAACTATCTAGAAAACAACTCAAAATCTTCAAGCCCAAAATTAGCTGTCACAAAGTCCATGTTCTTTACTCCATTGGAAGAGGTATGAAGAGCAACTACATCCTGCCTTACAACTGTAAAAGATAAGGTTAATGATTAAGTAAACTTGGCTATTGTAAGTTATAACAGTATATTAGAAATGATTTAAGTATGGATAGGTTGCAAGAGGAACGTACACTGAGAACAATGAGAAATAACAGCTGGATAGCAAGGTGATATCTAAAAACTATAAAAATCAGAGAATTAGACATTTAAAACAGTCTGGACTAATTCTGTATAGAAGAGAAAACAGTGCCTCCAATATACACAGCTGAATACTCCCTGAGAATATTATTTATTGTTTAGTCGTTTTCAGTCCTATTCAACTCTTCATGGGGTTTTCTTGGCAAAGATACTGGAGTGGTTTCCATTTCCTTCTCTAGCTCATTTTATAGATGAGGAAACTGAGGTAAACAAGGTTAAGTGACCTGTCCAGGGTCACACAGCTAATGTCTGAGGCCAGAATTGAACTTAAGAAGATGAGTCATCTTAACTCCAGGCACCCTGGCACTCTATCCACTGTGCCATATAACTTCCTGAAGACATTATAGTAAGGTACAATTCTATAAAGGATGCCTGCTCAAATGAAGTCAATATGTAGCTTGGATTCTGAGGAAACTTATAACTACTCCAATGTAAAATAATAGAAAAAGAGAGGAAACGATTTTACTGCACCTTAATGTGGTTCTATCTACTATCCATTTCTTTACAATAGTCTTTACAATTCTTTACAATAGAGGACCTAGAAAAAAATTTTTTTAAGATTAAGAATTTGAAGACGCAATTGACAGTAACAAGTTTTCTTTCCCTCTTACCTCCTAATAACAACTGTTATTTAAAACAGCAGATGTTATTTAAGGCAACATTTTATCTTGTGCTTCTAAAATATTGCTCTAAAACAGTATTGTCCAAATTATGTTCCAAGGATCATTGATGTACTATGTAATAACATAAATGGGGATCCTAAGAGAGAATAACTATGCTGGCCATTTATTTTTCTCTAAAATAGTACATATAAAATTATATAGGTATCAAAGGAACTTATGTGCAGAAATTTGGGGATTATGAATAAGGCTTAATTACCTAAAATTTCCCAACTCTCCTTATGCTCAGACCAATATTTATGGGTTGCATCAATTTTTCAAGCCCAGAAATGTTCTATAGCCAAAGTATTTCAGGTACACGCTATAACAAGAAATATAAGAAGCTATGTACAATGTAAATGTTTAAAGATGTCAGCTGAATACTATCTTTAGGTAATCATATGACACTTTATCTTAATGTGGTACCCAGAAGTTGGTGGGGTATTTTTTTCTTATGCTCATTTACAATGTTGAAGGGAACAATTAATTTTCAAAAAGGTCAGTGAATACAACCTGAAATACAGCCTCAATTGAAAATATTTTGGGATATTTTAATAATAATAATAATAACTAGCATCATATAACACCTGCTATGTGCCAGGCACTGTGCTGTTTTTAAAAATATTATCTTATTACTTTAAAAATGAGTCATTTTTCCAATTTAAAATATGAAGATAGGGAATTTATATTTTGAAGGCATAAATACATAGAATATTTTCTATTTCCAAGGCCTAATTAACAGACTATAAAGAAGAGATGCAACTGAGAAGTTAAATGCTCCCATCTGACAAATAAAATACTTCTATTGCAAATATCAGAGGAACTCAATAGAACCAAGTTCAAATCCAAACTTGGCTACATATTAAACAATTAACCAAATAAGATTATCTAGCACAAATGAAACTTACAGTTTTGATACAATACATCTTTAGGTTGCTAATTTCAATGAAATATGGAATAGTAAACATTTTAAGGTTTACTTTAAAAAAATCTATCCATAGCCTGAAAATAATTAAATAATTCAACATAAGACTATTCTGTTACATATACTTTCCTAATGAGATAATAAATTAAGGCTTGTACCATAATCAGTCATAAGGTTGGAAGACTAGCTCAAATACTACCTCTTCCAAGAAGCCTCCCGGATAATTACCTCAATTGGTTATGACTTTCTCTTCCACCACAGACCTCCTAAAGAACTCTGTACTAAAATCCTTTACGTATTTAATTACAAATTTAATATCTAGTAATGTGCCGTACTCCCCTACTAATATTTATGCACCCTAAGAAAATGGGCAATCGCCTAACCAAATTTTGCCAACACAGTGCCCTGCACACAATAGATAATAAATGTCTGCTGAACTAAAGTGACATCTCCCCCATCTCCACCCTAAGCATCTAACACTAAATCTTAGCCTACAAATGAGATCATGAAACCAAAAAAATGAAAGTCCATTTCATATGTTTAAAAGTTTTAGTTCTTAATTTTAGGCAAGTCAAAGCCTACATGTTCAAAAAACTTTTAACAAGTATCAGTTAAGACTCTCTAGATTGGGTCACCTTGCTCTGTGACTTCAGAACCAGATTTATGATCAACTTGCAACATGTGACCATTATTTATCCATTCATATTTAGTGGATTACAATAGAAATGAGGAGTACCTTGACAAGCTTTAGACTGAGAAATCGCTGACCTAAAACAAATGCTCTTACTCTAGATTCAAACTGAAATCTATCTTGGTGATCTAATGTTTCTGAGACCTTATTCTGAAAGACCTTTAAAAAAAAAAGAAGGCTGTTGCAAACCCTTCATACTGCAATATAAACACATTTTATCTTATTGATGGTGAAAAAAAAAGAAAAATAACATCATTTCACTTAAGCTATCATTCTTGGCAAGCAATAAACAAATTGAGAGGCAAAGTGGATAAAGCACTAAACTTGAAGTCAGGAAGGTAGCGGTTCAAGTACATTAGGTGGTCACTAGCAGTGTGACCCTGGGCAATTCTCTTAACCTCTGTGCCTCAATTTCCTCATCCATAAAATAAAGACTGGATTCAATCATCTTTTAAGGTCTATTCTAGCTCTAAATCTATGAACATGACTCTAAATGACTGACAAACACCTAATATAGCTGAGATAAGTCAAATTCACATAGTAGGTATTCAGAGAATACAGAAATCTGGTAAAGATTTCAGGGAAGAATAATACAAACTGCATCTTTGAGTAGCAGAGGAATAGGAACTAAAAAAAAAAAAAGGTGAAGAGAAAGGCAGGAAATTGCATAGGGAAAAATCCAAGGAACAAGGATCAGTTGTATGGGATACAATAAAGAGAATCAGCTGAATAGCTGGGAAAGCAGTAAGAAAAAGATTCAACATGAAGGGTAAGCCAAGATTATAGAATCATGAAAGCCACAGAGAAGAGCTTGGAATGTAGAAGATAAAAAGGTTCTTACAGTAAGTATAATGGATAGATTGGAAAGAGAGAGACTAGATAGAGGAAGGGAAAGTGTGAACTAGAACACCATCAACAGGAAAGAGCAAATTTAAGAAGTAATAAAAATTATAATAATAACTGACATTTGTCTAACACATGACTATTTACAAACTGCGTTATACACTTACTCATCTGATCTTCACAACAAGTTTGCGACTTAATGCAAGAATTAACCACATTTTAAAGATGAAGAAACAGAAACTCAGGGAGGCTTAAGGTCACACAACTAACTGGTAGAATAGGGCCACATACCAAGATCCTTTGAATCCAAATTAAGAAAGGTTGGCCTAGTGTAGGTGTGGTGGCACTTGACCTGTGCTTTGGAGCAAACTTGACACAAACTT